GCCTTTGCATCTGATGGATGAACAACTTCTCCATCTACTTGTGTATGTTCCGCATGCCATCTCATTGATGCAGCTGTCCTTTCAGATTGATAAAGCCGTTTTAACCTATCAGTTATAGGGAGATACCACATACGTTGGTACGGTATTCTTTTACGCCCACCAGTTTGCGGCTTGTATCTTGGTTTTTGGCAAAATCGACATTCCTCCAGCTGATCATCATCTTTCCAAAAAATCATACAATTGTCAACACATACATCTATCATCTCAGAAGGTAGACCAAGACTAAAAATCAACTTCTGTATTTCATAGTATGTTGCCGCTGCCAAGTTATCCTCTGGTAGATACTCTTTCAGAAGATCAGCCCAATCATCCATGCAAACCTCAGCCAAGTTATGATATGTTTTAATTGACATCATCCTAGCTGCCAACGATAATTTAGACAGGCCTTCTCTACATCCTTCGTAGATTGGCTGATTAGCATTGTCTAACAAATCATAAAATCGTTTGGCATCTACATTAGGTTTCTCAACAGCATTACCAGTATGCGTTTCATGAAATACATCAGTCACCATCTCATGCATCCTATCATGATCTACACTTTGATCAGATTGATACTGATTAGGCTGATAAAGAGATCTATTTCTTAGGGAACAACAACTGAAAGGCTCGTTGGAATTGATCCGCTACGGGATTTACATTATACGCAACAAAAGCACCTGATGATGACCATAATTCGATTTATCAAAATCAACATGACTTTGATAATTACTACTACTACCAGCATTCCCATGAGTATTACTGTCATATCCTTCTCCATGTAGATACCAAACAAAATATTGCGGCATAAACCCTCTATTTAATAAATGCGTACACACGGTTTTGGTTAGTGTATACCTCGTAGTCTTGCATTTCAAACAAGGACAAAACATCTTTCCGCTATCTTTCGTTCTCTCCATATTTGTAGACTGATACATAAATATTTCTAATCCGTTCTTGAACTCTTCTGTCAACGCCCCATCTGAATCTTTACGCATATACATCCAACTTCTTAGCTCTTATATAAACATCTTGAAATAAACTCAAAATACTATCTCTTTTTATTGATTAGACAATAAAGGAGCTGGTCTCTTGTGTCACGTCTAGCCACATGAATGAAGTAAACCTTTTAATTTATTACTTTTTTTTTCAAAGTAAATAACTACTAATTCGGGTTTCCAGCAATGGACAACCCAATATATCAGGATTTACAACCCTATACTAAAATTTAAGAGACCTACAATGGGTCTCCAGGATGATGATGCTCTTATGTTTGAATGATGATGTGTTGTGATTGAAAGAAGGAATGAAGATCTATTTATAGGAAAATTTCGGGCTTTACGACGCTTTTACGACGACTTCTTACGACGATTTTACATTCAACAATAATATTATGACGATTTTACGTCGATTATGCGATAAAATCTTTCATCTACATTTGTTAGGTAAACATGTTTTAAATGTTCTTTACCTAACTTCTTTGTCGACGTAAAATCGTCGTACCGTTTACATCGAAAACCAGTCTTCGTATATTCGTCGTATTTACATATAATTTACGACGATTTTGCAATAAATATCAAATCTCTCGTTATCGATGTATATTCGTCGTAATTCTTCGTAAATTGTACGACGAAGTTATGACGATTTTTTGTACGACGGTTTTACGACGGTTTTTTAATTTGACGTAACATCGTCGTACAATCGTTGTAAGTTTGCAATGATTTATAAACCGTCGTAATGAACCATTGGAAAACGATTGTTTTCTTGTAGTGCAGGTCCTTGTAGACTGATTGACATCAGATCTAGCTTATATGCATCATTATATTTCCCTAGCCGAAATATGGATGTGATCCATCGAAATAGGCAATTCAATTTTCTTCAACATACCATTCTGATTCTCTAAGATATTGTAAATTCCCCGATAACCTAGCTGTTGTGCTTCCTGGATTTGGAATTTATCATCGGAGCATACCTGATTTGGATTTTCCAATGTTGAAGCATGAGATTTTCCTGGATTACGCTCAGAAAACTAATTTGCTTCTAATCGAGCTAGGATATTTGCAATCAAGCTCAGATTCTTGTCCACAGATTGATTCTCTTCTCGATCGTCAAAACTCGTGTTGTTAAATCTGCATTTGCCGTTGTTAACCTTTTACAGCCACTGCTGATAACTTCCACCACTTGATTCAATTCCGCCACTGAACCTTGTAACTTCGCCGTCGCATCGTCGAGTTCCACCAGCTTCGCTGCGTAGATTGCTAAACACCGCACCAATTGATAAGATAAACAGTCGATGTAATTTCATTTATCAAAAGGATTACAAGACTGATCAAGTCTGAGACTCTCCGATATTGATCAACCTAAATCAGATAACGAGAACAAGCTCTCGATATCTGCCAAATCGCCAAGAACAAACTTAGAAATTCCCATAAATGAACGAACAATAAATTTGATACCTACAACAGAAATAACAAACAAAGCTATATACTAATTCTTTACCGTTCCGTTGACTGTTGACCAGCTTATCCACGTCAGCTTCTCTTCTTCAGAACTAACCCGACTCGTCAACAATCTGGTCTTATATCTTCATTTCAGTCTTCTTTCTCTGCTTAATATATATTCTTAGAGGCCTATCATAAGATAAGGAGTTCTCGAATTCGACTTCAAAACAAATCCTCAAAGAAACAAAGATAAATATCAAGAATAAGAAAACATACAACGAAGGACCATTGAAAACCCATCAACAAGTAGTGGAGTCATTACAAAAAAAAAAGTCTTTTACAACGGCTATAATCGTTGTAAAATCGATGCAAAATCAGTTTTGGGACGAATTAGCGATGATTCACAAATAATCATATATAGCTCGTCGTATGAGACCAATCTTCATAAAATCGACGTATAATTGTCCTATATTTATCAACAAAAATACGACGATTCCCCTTTCATCGTACATTCGATTTACATCGAGTTATTGTGTATATTAATGATCTCATTCATCGTCAATTCGTCATAAATGGGTCGACGTAAATACGTCATGAAACTAGGTCATCCAAAATTCGTCGTAAAATTTATGTCATTGTAAATTTGTTGGAAAATAAGCAATGTAAAAACGTTGTAAATATACGACGGATTTATGTCGATATGTATAATATTTACCAAAAAATAAAATATTTAAAAATAAAAAACCAAATATTCTCTTTAAATTTTCAAAAGAAAATTTAAATTTAAAATTAAAAATTAATATCAAATTACAAAAAGAATTACAAAAAAACTACAAATGATCATTGGGAGTAACCCTCAATGATTTGAACATCTCTTGGTCGGTCTAGGGAGCTCCTACCGGTGGCTGTCTCGGGGAAGATGTGGAGCTGCATTCTGTCTCCTGCATCTTCTGCAACTCCGCTCTGATCACTGGGTTGCTTGCATCCAAAATCTCGAAGAGACTGTCATACTTCTCGAGCTTTGATTCATAGTGCGTCCGCATCTGATTTAGCTCTTGCCGTAGAACAACCAGGTCCTTGGCACTCGTTGAGAAGTAGCTGAAGCGACAGGGTTATCTCGGGTGGATCCTATCCCTAAAACTTTGCCTTCTTTTTAGGAGCAACCTGTAAAAAATTTCGAAAATTATATAAATTTGTTGGAAAAAAGTTAAAAAGACTAAATATTTAAAAATTTAACAAAAAATAACGTACCTCATTGTAGATCTTGTCCAACAACCGTCAAAGTCGGTGTCGACTGGACAGAGCTACCTCCAGGAGATAACGGCAGCTCGCCATGGCAGCCTTGTAGATCTGCTCCGCCTGAGGATCCACAAACTTGGCGTTTTTCTTTTTGTGCGTCTCCTCGTCATCGGAAGAAGTTCTTCTTTGTTTTTTTCGGCCAACAAAACTATTAAAATTATTAATCGGAATAATATTTTAAGTAAAACCAAATAATAAATTAAATATTTTATATTATTTACCGATGTCTTTCGGCAAATGGCACTTGACAGGAAGTATGCAAGACTTTTTTGGTTGACCTGCTTTATTTACAGCGTTCTTGAAAAAGATAAAAAAAATTTAAGTTATATAAGTTATTAAAATTTAGATTGTATATAAAATTTAAATCCACATTAGCTTGCACAACATTAGTCCATAAAACTACTGAACTAATTCATTTCTTCTGCAAATTGGCTCCAAAATATTTTATAAAGATATTGGCCCTGAAACACATGTTTCATAAGCTTGTGCTCAGACACGGCTCTGAATATAATTAGAGAAAAGTTAATTTTATTATAAAGTTACTCTATTTATAAAATAAAGATAGAGTAATAAGTTACAAAGATCTAGGTCATTACTATTTTTACCCATGAGTTCTGGTCACGGGTCTGAATCATTACTGTTACTTTTATTACTCTTCCTCCTTTCATTCGCATGACGGTGAGGCGACGCGATTCATGGTCACATCAATGCCATGATTTTTTTTTTTAAAGAATAACGAAAATAATTTAAAAAATAAGTGAAATATCGTAGATCGGGGAATCAATCTCAACTTCTAGAGTTTATACCTTGAAAAAAAAAATAACATGAAATCAGCACAAAAAAGCATGTAATATTCCAAACATACTATAAAAAGGTCCGGTCAAAAAAGCAAAAAACCAAAACTGTATTAAAAAATATAAACAACACTAGCGAACGAATATGCTAAAGATTTTATCCTTTTTTTTTAACATCACCTAACCTTTTTTTATTCTTTCTTCTTCTCTTTATTACATGCCACATTCACAACACTTCGTCACGCCAAAGCTAAGCATATCCTTTTTCATATTCTATTTTCATAACCACTATTTATATATCTCTATATTAACCTTTTCTTCTTCTTCATCCAGATCTCATTATAATACATTTCTTTCCTTCTTCTTTTTTCAATAAATAGGATATAAATATATATATATACATAAAATTCATATTTGAATTAATATTTTGATGAAGTTCGGGAAGAGGATTAAAGAACAGATACAAGAGTCGTTGCCGGAGTGGCGAGACAAGTTTCTTCGTTACAAAGAACTCAAGCATCTGATTTCTTCTCTGGCTCCGGCTGAATATATTTTCATAGGTTTGTTAAACACCGAGATTGACAAGTTTAATGCTTTCTTCGTCGAACAAGAAGAAGATTTCATCATCCACCACAAGGTACAATAAACAGAGATATCATTCTTGTCGACTAGTTTACCGAGTCACCTCATACACGGTACAATGTGTTTTAAGTTTTTGGCTCATCACTGATATAACTTTTCCCACTATTAAGAATGTAGGAGAGAAATAAACCATTTTTATTAGTTGTTAAATATTATATTATAATTTTAAATGTTAGATCGATCTGGGGAAATTTTCAGTAGAGGTGTGTGACCTGAATAAAATAATTGCAAGTGTCTATCTAGTAACTCGTGTTTTATATAGAAGCACGTCGCATGAGAGTGATTTTTGTATTGAATTATTGATACGTACGGGACAAATAGTTTGTACATAGTGTTGGAAACATTTTGGAAACTATTAAAAATATTTTTTTTCCTGAGTAATTTTGTAATACGAAAACGAACCAAAGGAATACAGGGCTAGAATACATTTTTGACATCTAAAGCCAAAGGTAAACTAAAGTCCAAGGAAAAAGAGATTTCCTCACGATCTACAAATTAAGACCAACCAAAACAAATTTGCCTTAAAAAGATACATGCAGGCTGGATACATGTGAATTTTTGTGGATTTTTTCCTAAATATCTTTGACACTATAGATGTGAAATCGATCTGGTCATAATTTGGAGAAATTTTCTAGCGAGTGAGACTAAGTTGATTATATCTATCTTTATTTATTTTTTTCCTGCAGGAATTGCAATATCGGATTCAGAGACTGGTTGAAATATGTGGAGGCAATGATGAAATGTTTAGAGAGGAGATTAGTGAGATCAGAAAGGATATTGTCAATTTCCATGGCGAGATGGTTCTTCTCGTCAATTACAGCAACATTAATTACACCGGTGAGCTTGATTTTGAGTTTGTTAATTAATCGATGTTTGAAATAAAAGTTGAGATCGTCGAATGTGTGATCGGAGAAAGACGAATTCTTACAGGATTAGCGAAAATTCTGAAGAAGTATGACAAAAGAACAAAAGGGGGATTACGATCGCCGTTTATCCAGAAAGTTCTCCGTCAACCGTTTTTCAAGACTGATCTGGTGTCAAGGCTAGTGAGAGAGTGGGAGACAACGATGGACGTTGTTTTTCCAGCGTCTGATTCGGCGGAGGCGGAGGCGGAGAGATCTGCGGTTTTGAGTTCGGCGGCGGCGGGAGAAGGGATATTTAGGAATACGGTTGCGGCTTTGCTGACGATGAGGGAGATGAGAAGAGGGAGTTCGACTTATAGTGCTTTCTCACTTCCGCCGCTTAATCACTCCGATTCTGATTTGGTTCTACGATCCATCCATATCCCATCTCCGATACCCATTCCTTACTGACAAACTTTTTAGATTTGTATCAAAAGTTGCATTATTTGCAATATTTTTAATTTTTTTTTCTCTCCCTCTTTCATTTTCATTTTTTCATGAGATGATTTGTACTCTAATATTGCAAAACCCGAATTCGAAGCGACGCCATTCATTCTTCAAGGTATGGTGCATCGGTCACTTAGTCGATGTGGCTTAGGATTTACTCCCTTAGTCACATTTTTTTTTTCATAGAAACAAGTTGGAAATTTGCGAGCTTGGCGTATGTTTTCGTTAGCATCTATCAAAGCGATCGCTAGCGGGTATTTCTTGGTACTTGGGCCATTTTCTCTAAATTCCCCATTTACCAAATGGACAAAATACCATAAAGATATACTTCCTCTGTTTCATTATAGTTGATTTTCTGAATATTTACACACAGATTAAAAAAACTATAAATGCTCAATTATTTACTGTTTATTTTTATTAATTAATTTACTTTTACAACTGATTTCATTATTTATATTATTACTTTTTCTTTTTTAACTATGCATTAATGGAGTAAAGCAACATGTATTAATATTATTCATTCAATTTAAAGAAGAGACATGCATTTATTAGATGTAGGAAATCAAATATTATGAAACAAGAAAAAAACATAGAAAATCAACTATAATGAAACAGAAAGAGTATTAATTATTTAATTTTTGGAAGAAATATACACAAATTTTTAGTGTTGCTAAAAATCTACACAAATTATTTTTTTGATGCATAGAAATATCTAAGTTTTTAAAAGTTTCATTTCACTCCTCTGATTGCACGGCCGTTAACAGACATAACATAATCAATGAACATCGTTAATTTTTTTGTAGGAAAAAATACTAAAAAAAACCTCAACTAACTAATTTTGTCAAAAACTCACACAAACTTTTTGCATTGCCAGAAATCCACACAGACTAATTTTTATTTATAAAAATACCTAAACTTTTTAAAGTTCTATTTTCCCTCCTCAGATTTTACTGTCATTATAAACATAACAGAATCGAAAAACTGCATTAATTTTACATAACACTTACTAATTGCTGTCGAATTAATGCCATTATTACCTTTAAAAAGAAAAACCTAAACTCTAATTTTTTCTCTTACTATTTCAGAAATTGAGTGAAAATCGGTTCAAAATATAATTAGTAGCAATAAATCATGTTTAGAACATATACATCATCTCCTCAAATTGCTCTTATTAGTCTTATATATTACAACACACACTGTTTATGACTCGATTTATACTACCAACCATATTTTTTAATCGATTTCACTCAATTCTAAAAGAGAAAAAAAAATTAGAGTTTAAATTTTTCTTCCCAAAATCGATTTGTAAATTTTCTAAGAGTAACAATGGTATCAATCCTAGAGTAGTTAACACGTGTTACGAAAAACTAACATAACGACCATGAAACTTGAAGAGGGAAATGAAACCTTAAAAAGTTTGGGTATTTTTATAGATTATAAAAAATAGTCTGAGTGGATATCTGGCAATGCAAAAAAATTGTGTGGGTTTCTGGCAAAATTAAATAGTTAAGGTATTTTTTAACATTTTTTTTACAAAAAAATTATCACTATTTATTGATTATGTTATATCTGTTAACGGCCGTGAAATCAGAGAGGGAAAAATGAAATTTTAAAAAACTTAGATATTTTTATGCATCAAAAAAATAGTTTGTGCAGATTTCTGACAATGCTAAAAGTTTGTGTGTGTTTATTCCAAAAATTAAATAGTTAAGGTTTTTTTTTAGCATTTTTCTCTTTACCAAATACAAAAATTTTGGGAGGCTGCATTAGTGTAGTAAATGTCACTAAGCCGTGTTATACTGTACACACAAATGTAGTTGGTCTCTTTTAAAATTGACACCAATTTTTATTCTCATTTTGCCAAACCGGGTCGACCTAATGAGATGTTTTCCTTCCATTCTTCTGCATGCAACAAAAACTGGAGACACCCAAATTTGTTTTCTCTCGGAATTTAGTAACGGGTATTGTTAAGTGAGAGAGACTTTCCTTAAGAGACAAGTAAGAGAGATTGTTAATATTTGGATTCGGTTTGGTCCTTACAGATTTGGGCTATTTTGATCGAGTGATATTAATGCTAAATACATTCATGGCCGTGAACTACAACTGTCATCAGAGTATTGTCAGGAGTATGACTAAGACTCTACAAATCGGAAAAAGAATGTAGATTAATTTTTTTATATTTTTTTTTAAGTAAAAATATTGAGATTATATAACCAATTTTTTGACAAAAGTTACATAGATTACAAAAATAGGAGATTAACCCAAAAAAAAAACTAATGACAACTGGACAAAAACCAGCAGACAACAGCAAAAAATTAAGAAAAATGGTTTGCAGAATTAAACATAAAAACCAAAACAAAACCAAACAGGAAGGCAGCAGTCGCAGTCACACCCCGAAATGTGAACCATCATATTTCTACCGCAGCTCCAAAGAACTAGAGTTCTCATTCTTGTTGCCACAAGCATCATCCCAAGGCTAGCCCTCAAACCTCAAAGAGAGACACCTATAGCAGAATTTACGAGATCCATAGTGGACTAACTTGCGACTGTCGACAAGGGAGCCTGCTCGGGCTATTGGAAAGTCACCTCTGACAACCATTCCTGAAAAAATGAATCTCTTCAAGAACCAGTCTCCACAGCTACAACATAACCTCAACAACAAACCGGCGCTTCAACAATCACGTCTGGCAATGCTCCCCCATCTACACTAGACCACACCCGGAGCAACCGCAAGCCAAAATCTAAAACACAAACACGAAGCTACCACAAATTACCGTAAATACGCATCTTCAGAAAACTCAAGCTACACCAATATTGAAGACGGTGGTGGAGCAAACACGCCAAAAATAAGCCAGCAAAGCAACCAGCGAGCCACCCGTCCAGCACCACCGCTGAGATACACCACCAGTGGAGGCACACCTGCCGGAGATACGAAAGCCACCACTCTGAGGTTTGCCACGAGACTGGAGCTGCCATCAAAACTCTTACGCTGGAGCAAAAACCCGTCCTCAAGATCCAATTACTCCACAGCCAGGATCGAGAAGCTCCGGTCAACCCAGCCACCACTCCGCTGCCTCCAATCAGAAAATAATTTTGTCACTTACGTCTTCTTCACTTAGTTTTACTCGGTCTGCTCTAATTAGATAATCTTGTTTTCTTTTTTTATTAATAATCAAGTGTTGACATGTCGGCCTTTCGCTTCTCTTTGTCTAGTTCATTCAGACAATGAAACTGTTGAAAGTCCTTTTATGGCAATTCACGAACCAATTCTTTCCCTAACTATTCGGGCTCTGTTGAGTAGTTGTAGATCAATAAGATTTGCAAATGAGACATACCCAAAAGAAAATCTATACACATCTCCATCTCGTTGCTATTACCTCCAGATTATCTTCCTCTGTACTACTTAAATATTTGTTTGTTTGGAAGCCTTAGTAATCTGGTGCGTTGTCACCCGGAAAATGGTCAAAAATAACTCAAACTAAATTATATGTCAAAAATACCTGTACTAAAATACGATGCTAAATCTTATCCAAAAGAGAGATAAATTCAAATTTCCTACCTAAAACTATTGACTTGAAGTCCATTCCAGCATTGACTGCAAATCCGGTTACTCAAACCGTTAATAGCGACTGCTGAGTTAGTTACCACGTCAACTAAAACATCTACAGTTGCTGAAACAGCTGCCACATCAACCGTCTTTTTTTGAAATTTTTTTTCTCTATATTTTTTTCTAAACTTGTAATATTTTATTAATTTTAACTATGTGGATTGCTTCTAAAAATTGACGAAAAAATCCTGAAAGCTAAATTTTGAACCAAATTAATCTTGTTATGAAAGGTTTGTTCAATTTTCATTTTTTTCATAAGTTTATTCAATATTCAATCGAGATTAAACACTCGGTTTCTAAATGTTTAAACCACCTGAAAAACTTGTTAGGTTTTGGGAGAAACTTTCCAGATTGATGAAAAAAGTCGCATGGCTTGACTGGATGTTTGAACCAATACATAAATAAAAAAAATACTAATCCATAATAACTTAAACCAATTGGAAATATTCACACTAGCTAGTAACATATGTCATCAAAAATATAACTACACTTCTTTTAAGGATAATTTTCCTAAATGGTCCAATTAAACTAACGCTTCTACGGTATATCCCTTCATTTGGGCTTGGATAAATGTAGCCTTCATTAAGTCGACGAACCGCTTCATTTCCACTTTCTCCGAAAAACACTAAAACTTCACAAACACAAACCTTCGTCAAATTCTTCGTGATTTTCACCGTTGCTGCCGAAATCTCATCTGGATTTTGAAGAAATCGTCGTCGGAGTAGGCGAAAATTCACTCTACAAATCGAGGTAATCGATTTTCGTTAGGGTATTGTTTTGATTTTGACGATTTCGCTTCATCAAACGGTTTTGTCGATTTGGATTCATCGGTTAGAATGGGTATCGAGTTTCGTCAGAGATCATGGGGCTTTTGCAGATTCCGATGGCCGGATTGTGTAGTATTAGGTGTTTTATCATGTTTGATGTAGATTACGGTTGTAGATGTTCGTTTGAAAAAAATCTGGAATGTGTTCCTAATTTTTTTTCATAAACCCTAAGGCATTCCTAAACCCGAAGGCATTGTGATTGTGTGGTATTAGGTGTTTTATCATGTTTGTTCATTCTGAGTTGCTCATTTGTGTTTGATTTGTGCATTATTTTCATAAACCCGAATTCATTCCTAAATTTGTCTTTGTTCATTCATGTTTTTGCATTTTTAGTATTAGCTAGGTGATTTAGAACACACTGAGATTATGTTTGATAATGTCATTGATCATGTTTGATTTTAGATTAGGTTTGTATTTGTTCGTTTGGAAAAATTTCGTAATGTCTTCCTGAATTATGTTTGTGTTTGTGTTTTCGAAATTTTAAGAAGGATTGAGTTTGTGCTTTCTGAATTTGAGTTTGAATGTGTGTTTGAGTTTGTCTAAGATTTGAGTTTGTGGCTTTTTAATTTCAGGAAGGATTCTTAATGGATTCATTTCCCCATTTCCCAACTATTATGCTCCCTAAGCTTCATTTTAATATAGGACAGGAGCCGAATCAAGAACCAGGCACAGTAG